TGATGCCAATATATATATGGTTTTATCTTTTATAACTATTTATTGAATGTGCTTTGTATTGGTGCTTAGAAATAAAAATTCTCGAATTTTTTTGCTGTTGATTATTTTGAATATTCCGATTTGATTCCCAGAATATTATTCCGACATAGTTGAAAGTACCTAAAAGTTATAAAATTTTCCTCACCGTATGACCCCCTCATAATAGTTTATGGTAATAATGACCTTACCAAATGATTGAGAAAGTGATTATTACACTCATTTCATGAATTGAATATGGTTAGGTTAGGTTAGGTACAAAGTGAGTGGGTCTATTCGACCCTCCACCGCAACCCGCAACGGTTTATTGTGGCTCACACCTATTCATACTCGAACAAGTAAACCCAACTACTTAACGAAGCCGATTATTTTGTATGGTTAGTGGTCTTTCAGGTCAGATGGTACAGCTCTGCCGAACTCTAAAAACCTGATTCGGTCCCCAGCAGGGCAGGCACAAAGTATATGCTCTACTGTTTCATCGTTAATGAGGTAGTCGGATAGTCAAGGTGCAAGATTCCCACCTTGATACCCGCGACAATTTTCCCATATGAGGGTTTTTGCACGTCAGCTACACCTGACGATGCCTTACATTCACTCGTGCTGCTCATGAAGTCGTAAGCTCGACATCCTCTGTAGACTCGCTTCTGATCTAAATTTACAGGGAGGTCAGTTGGAGTCGTAAGCTAGACATCCATCTCCTCTGTAGACTCAGCATCAGAAAGAATTTTTAAGTTTACTCTGTCCATAAAAGTACCACGAGTAGCTAGGAAAAGAAGGTTAATTACGGCAGAGCCCCGATTACCGTGACAAGGCGATGCTATGACGAGAGGGTGCCCGGTATTTCGAAGGTTCCGTAGAGACAGCTGATAGGTTCAGTGTCATTCATCCTCTTGGCACGGATACACACACCTTGGGATCAAGCCGTAGTTGGGATGCCATTCAGTTAGGGAATACCTGCTTCCCGTATCCAGCGGGGCTACGTGGAAGCAGGCATCCGATGGCCGGTTTGCTCAACCCTCACATCCCAAGCCAATGCACTCGCCAAAAACAGCATGCACAGTAGTTCAGGTAGTGAAAGATGAACAAGGACAGCCATGAATTGAATATAAAGGATTAAAGTAGATAGATCTCAAGTGTGAGTGACTATTCGACCCTCCATCGCAAACCATAAGGGAGTTTATTGGAGCTCACACCTATTTAAACACGACCAAGTGAGACCCTGCCAAACGCTGTAAAACCTGATCAGGCTCACGGTGGAACAGGCATAGATTATGTGATCTGCTCCCAGAGCATGAAATTTCTTTGTGAAAAATAGTCCACTTGAAGATCGACTCAGTCTAGTCGGGTACTTGATTAGTTGTCAGTATATGACTACCGTCGTCAGGTAGGAATAAGGTAAGCAACACAAAAGCATTTCAGGAAAATACCCTCCCATGAATTGCTGCAGGGTACTAATTGCACCCACCAACCTGTAGATGCTTTCCTGATCCTCTCAGGTAATCTGTAGTCATCCAGGCCGGAATGTGCAGCTCCGAAATCGTATCTGTGGACCATCTTGATGGATTGAAATGGAGGTTGGATGTTCATGATGCAAGATTTTCACGTTAATGACCGGAGTAACCTTTCCACCTGAGGACATCTTTAACTCAGCTTCACCTAATAATACATTTCGCTTCTGGTTTGAGTGAGTCATCTGTTTGGGCGTTTTGCCGATCTGCTCAGGCGGAGTTTCCTCTTCTGTTGCAGATTCTGTTTCTTCTGTTTAACTCTACGGGAGATACCTTACCCTTATAATAATAATAATTTAGTTGAATTATAAATTCTTCAATTATCAGTTATCCTCTCGTCATTTTCAGCATCAATGAATTATCATTGTTTTAAT